GGGGAGAATGGAAATTTTATATAATTATGGCCTTTCAAAAATGACTCAGTGCTGTGTGAAGGAAAGACTGAGCTTTGGGTGTCTATTTCTGCACCAGATGATAAAGATGATATGTGGTAGGTTTGGAGGAGCTGATAATGCCTTTAATTATAAGATCTGCTTGTAAATTTGATTGGCATCTTGGAAGGAAATCAGCTAAATGACTTCCAGTGGGACAGGAAGAGGAGAGAGACCAAATGTCCCAGCACAAGAGCTGCACTCTGAGCTAGGAGAGGAGGCACAGGGAGGCAGAGGAAGTGCTGTACTGGCTCAGGAAATGGAGAATTCATGTTTTAATCGATTCCTCTTCACTCCAATCTTGGTCTGCTCGGGTGATGTCTTTTCCAATGAGCTTGGAAATTGAATTTCTCGCCCCGCTGGAGACTGAGGAGGAGACCTTGCAAAATCTTTTTGTTGTAACGAACAGGCTCGGGTTGCAGCACAGCTCCCCACCTACACAGCGCTCTGCTCAGGCACTGACACAACACCTGCGGGCACAGGTGGTTGAAGGCTCCGTCTTGGGCCTGTGGGAAGCGCACATGGCCCTGGGAAAACGCTTTCCTTGCAAAGTGATTTAGTGGAGGAAAAAAAAAACCCAAACCTTGCGGAACCCTGTTGCTTTCTGTTCGACGAACAAAAGCGAAGCCACCAAGGCGCGGAGCGCTCACGGCCCCGGCTCGCTGCTCACTCGCTCACCGGCACGGGCAGCGCAGCCGGCCCACGGCGGCTCTTTGCTCGCTGCCCGGAGCTCGGGGGCAGGCGCGGCGGTGGTGGCCGGACCTTCCCTCCCCGTCCGCCGGTGCCTCGGGCCGGACCTTCCCTTCCCTCCCCCGCGGGCCGGGCCGGGCCGGACCCCCGAACCGCGCGGCTCGGCTCCACTTGGACCGCGCCGATTGGCTGCCGGCCGCGGCTGCCGCGCTCCCATTGGCTGCCGGCCTCGGCCGCCGCGCTCCCATTGGCTGCGGCGCAGCGCGGCCGCTCCGCGGGCGCCGCGCGCTCCCCGCGCGGTGTCGGCGGCCCCGGTCCCGCTCCGCGGCCCCGCCGCGCCCCGGGCCCCCGGCAGTGCCCGCGGGGTGCGGGACACACGGCCCTGCGCGGACCCCGCCCGCCCCCCCGAACGCTCCGCCAGGCGCGGCGGCGCCCGCGGGCCGTACCTTGTAGAATGTGACGGTGTCGAGCGGCACGGAGCCCTTGGTGTGCAGCGTGCTGCCGCCGGGCAGCGCCAGGCCGAGCAGGCACAGCAGCACCGAGCCCGCGGCCGCCGCCGCAGCCATGGCGGAGCGCAGGGAGCAGAGCTGCCGGGACACGTGACGGCGCGACGGCCGCCGCCGGGGGCTCGCCCCGCCCCGCAGCCCCGCGGGCACCGAGGGAGCGGCGCCGGGCGGGACCGCGGGCACCTCCCACGGGCCGCCCCGCTCCGCCGGGACACCGCGCGGGGAGGGGGATGCTGCGGCGAAATAAGGACGAGCGAGCGGCTTCCAGCAGCAATTCCACAGGAGAGGAAGGCAGGGAAAGGCAGGAGGCAGGATCTGGCCACACAGATTAGCAGGGAGGGCGTGTGCATCTCTATCCAGGGTGGGCACTGCCATAGCACTGCCACAGCCCCCTCAGACATGGGTTTTTTTTGTGTTATAACCAGGGGAGATCTCCTGCACCGAAAGATTTGCATGCATTTCAGCCAGCGATGCATAAAGCATGAAGAGCAGGCTGACAGATCATCATGTCAAAGCACTGACACATCCCAGCCCCCTCCCCCAGCAGACATCACTCGGCACTGAGGATTCCCCCCCCTTCCAACCTCCCTCTTTGCAGGTAATTTGATTTTCTGCTTGTGCTGCACCAGCACAATCTGGCTTCACCCAAGGGCTTACAAACATAGTGTAGATGAACACTTTGATTGCATCCAGACAGAAAAATGAGAGGCAGCAATACTGATTTGTAACGAAACTGACTTTTATATAAATTATAAACCCATCCAGTTTAAAGCAGTTCAGTTGCAGTTGTGTCACTTAAGTCCGTAGAAGGCCGAGGCGTACACATCTCCTACAGTCATAAATTAACAGGAATCAAGGAAGAGAAAGTTCAGATAAGGCTGCAAATACAACAACAACAACAAAAAATTCCCTAAGTTTACTAGCGGTTAAAATAAAGTCATGATTATCAAGGATTGCAAAATATAAATGCAATTTTTGAACAGTTAAAAAGTACAAAAATGATGGGCAACACAAACAAGCATCGTACAGTTTGTCCTGTGTGTAGACAGAGCAGGGTAGGAGATTTCCAACCTTTATCTACATCAGACACTGATTTTAAGCCGAGAGGAGTTGAGGAAATCTGTAAAAGGATCGTGGCTCATGATCCCAGTAGTACAAAAGCAGTATTTTTTTCAGTCTGTAAACAGTAGTCTTGGTAGCTTCTTCTAGGTATGTTTTTCAATTCATCACCCAAAAAAAGAAAAATCCAAAACAAACAAAAACAAATCCTAAGGGTGGAAGAAAGGGAACAGCAGCAATGGGTTATAGCTTGAATTTCATATCAGGTCCCTGTGGGACATATTCTGGAGGGGAAATGCTCTTTCGTAAGAAATATATAATATATTTAACTGTACACAATTTATAAGGGGAGAGAAATTCTCCCTCAACCAAGCCCCCAGTCAGTCAGTACAGAGTCATTTTTGTACACCACCTCCTCCTAAAGAGAAACTACAGCTTGGGAAGGGATGGCATATGGTTTTAGAAAACACTGAGTAATCCAAAAATTCTGTTTGACAAGGTTATCACTCAGCAGGGGCTGGAACTGGAATGAGGAGAGCAGGTAACACTGAAACAGTCACTATTCCCCCTGTGCTGCCAGCGCTGGGATGGGGAGTGAGCGAGCCATGGTTCCATCTCATCCCAGATGACGCACGTCCCCCACAGCAGTTTCAATTCTGCTTTCAAGGGAGCTGATGCAGAAAACCTTTTTTTAACCCAAGTTCTGCTTTCAGCCCACAGGAGGATTTTAAACTTGGTCGTGTTACCTCACACTTCACTTACACTGTCACCGTTGCTTATTGACACAACTGGCTGAGTTCAACCTGGTGCAGCAGCAGTGGAAGGAAAGTCCAGCATGGATCAGCCCCTGGACTGTCCCCTCTGGCTGAGGGCACTGTGACAACCTTGCATTCAGTGCTGGTGTTTGTGCAAAGCCTCTGGAATTAGCAAAGCCTGGGGAGGGAGGGGACAGGGACAGTAGCAGGGACACTTTGCCCCTGTGACTGAGAAGGGCAGTGCCTGGTTTTGGCTCAGTGCTGCTCTGAACTGGCACCATCTCAGCACTGGGGCTGTTTTCACTCACCCTGCACATCTGAAAGCACCAACTTCAGTCACCAGTCTTGCTTTAATTTAAGGAGCACACCCTTCTTTCAAAAAAGATATTTCTATACAACATATAAGAGTTCAGTTTTGGTTTTTTCCTTTTCTTTTTTTTTTTTCCCCCAGAAAAGTATTACTATAAAACAGACTTAACACATTTTGGTATTCCTCCAGCCCAGAGCACTTACCAGACATCATGAGTAAACCATCAGGACATCCATGACAATTTGACAACCTGCAGACATTCCTTTCCCTTTCAGGATGGGGCAAAGCAAAACTAAATCCAGCAAGAGCAGCTATGGGACTTTTTTTTTTTTAAATAGAGGGGATTTATTAAAAAAATAGTCTCATCAACATTCTAGCATTGCTAACAAAACAAAAGAGATGACAAAGGTAGTCAGCTCTCTCAAAACTTTAAATCTAGACCTTGGATACCTGCTGCTTTAAATCAGATGAGGAATCTGTGGAGTCTGACCTGTCCCTTATTTTGCAGGTACATGAACTTTTTTTGCCTATCACTTCTAGGCTGCATTGCTCCTTTAAAATGAAAAAACCCAGCAGAAATGCAGATTCTGTGGGAGCAGATGATATGATCACACTTTCTAACAGAAAGCTTAATGAGCCAGTACTGGAATAATCAAAGTTCAACTGCAAAAAGCAAGCTACAGGTGCAAAAAGGGTTCTCAGCCTCATTCCACAGCGGAAGCAAAAGTCACCTCTGCCAACTTAAAACCAAAGCCAATAGGATTTCATTTCTATTAAAATATTGAAGTCTTAAAGTTTCAGTAATCTAAATACACTTTTTAAAAGTCATGACTGTTGCTGTTTTACATTAAACTGACATGATATCAGCAGTGTCAGACTTCACTGCACATGTTATATACAAGGTCTCTGGGTTTGTCCTTTTTTTGCTGACACGCCCGTTCCCATCTCCCTCTGAAGTTTGCTCCTCATCACATTGGAAGTTTCTCCGAGTGTGAAAACAGTGTGTGCACTGACACCTCCTCCCTCCAGTCTCTCCTCAGAGGAACCAGCTGAGTCCCAGCCGAGGGAGTTCTCCCATGTGGCCTCACCTCTCCCTGATGGACCAACACATGGAATTCTTTCAGTAGGACCAGGTGCTCTGCAGACAAAATAGGCAGCTCCAAACCAGGCTCATCTCATTAGAGGCGGCTGAACGTGGACATCTACAATTCCTGCATTTCTAAGGCAAGGACCATACAAAAATTATAAACACTGTATGGTGATGAAAATACAACTCCTTGGAGAAAGATGCTTTACACTGGATTTCTATTGCTGCTTCTAAAGACCATCTCCAGTTGTTTCTAGAGATCAGAAGGGAAGAAAGTTAATTTTCTCCTGTTGCAATATGCTTATGAACATGTATAAAAAGTGGTCAAACCCCGGTGAAGGGTCCCTGCTTCTCATTTATGTACAATAATTTAAATCAGCTCAATACATCTGTAATACCTAAAAAAATTGTTTCATGATTTTAAGTCCTTCATGCATTATGAGGAAGTTCTGGATTAAAGTGATGGTATAGTGGATGTTGCTTCTGTCTGGGACTCTGGTGTCACTCCCCTGTGGAGTCTGTCAAGGATGCATTTCTCAAATCTTTAGTTTTTTAATGGTATCGAGTCTCTTTTTCAGCAGCTCCCCAATTTCCTGAACTGAGTGATGGTAACTGCTCTGGACCTTCCCTTGTACAGTCTTTGTAAACTTTTTTTCTTCCTGCAAAATGCAAAAGAGAAATAATTCACTGCACAGCAACTGTTTAAATCCCCCCTTTAAACTTCATCCATCATCTCAAACACTGACAAGAATTTGTGAGGATCACAGTGTTTACAAAGGGAACCTCTTACCTGTAAAAGCAGAGTGTCCTTGAGGGACAGCTCTTCAAGTTTTAGTGCAGTCAGAATTATTTCAAGCCCTTTGATATGATCTATTACATTGGAAGTTAATGTCTGTAGTTCAGTTACATAATCCAGGAAGTGGGTAAATACAGGTGGCTATAAAAACAAATACATATCTTTAATTTATAAACACATATTAATGTCCATTCTCTCTGACAACTCACATTGTAGCATCATTTCTATCCCTTCTCCCCAATGCTAAGCTATATTTGACCTACCCAGATAAACATTCCCAGCTGACAAGTTTACTGTAGTGCATTCAAGGTCTGTAACACTCTAGACTTCAGTGTTTCCCATTAAAAAGCTGTCACATGATGTCACATGTGCCACATGACCATTGGATTTTAAACAGCACTTTCAAAAATTAGCCCTGAGTCACCTTTACCCCACGTCAGCCTCCACCAGGCAGAGGTTATGAAAACCAGTTTATGCTCATGTTATCTATGCTGACTTTTCTTTCAGTATAAATAAGCTGTGATTGGGGGTAGGGGAGGAAAGAAGAATTGTTGTCTGTACCATAGCTACACTGCTTTCTTTTTTTTTCTTCTTCTTTTTTTGCAGGTTGGATTTAAAAGGTCGGAGGACACTGTCACAGTAACTTGATACCCACAGGGCAATGGAGATCGTCTGGAAAAAAGGTACAAACGTGTTACAGGTTGAATTTACAGGAGGCTTCTAAACTCATTTTAGTGTTCCTACTGGTAAGACTCACAACAGATGGAATATGCAACAAAATCTCTGCTCTCACGAGTGACTGAGATCCAACTTTCACTGTGTTTCAGTCCCAACATTTCTACCCCCAGTCCTCCCAAATTTCTGGTTTCCAAAACACCCAAAATACCTCAACAAAGAAGACTAAGTTTTCTAACAGGTTTGGATGAGTTTTCAAGGTGCCATCTCTGACTTCAATCAAATCACCTTTACATTTATTGAACAAATCTGAAAAGAAGAAAGAAAAAGGACAAAGTAGAGCACCATAAATGCATATTTTCTGTACATGACATATCTCAGTGCAGCATTCAGAGCTGGGAGGGGACTGCCCACTAAGCAGTTGATGAGAAGGTCCAGCTCTCACATTTCCTCTGAATTGTGCTTCACACCTTTCATCAGCCCCCCTGGCCCAGGGCAGACAGGATTTGCCAGACCAGGCTGCAGGGGAAGTGCAGTGACAGGACAGGGGACATTCTGAGCATGCATCAGCTTCAATCAGACAAGCCAAGGGCCATCTCAGCCTTCTCAAGCATCTTTCACAGAGCCTGCAGGTGCAATAACACATCCCAGCCCTGCAGCATCCTCAGAGGAGCAGGAAGCACTGCCTTAGCTACCAGTGTCTATTCTGGAATTACCATTTACCTGTCAGTCGTTCTACTAAAGACTTGAAACTATTCCCTATTCTTTCCTGGATTTCTGCTGAATCTTCTGCAAAGAAACAGAAATACAAAATGATAAGCTACAAATTTCTGTATATTCTGCTTCCAGAAAACCAAGAGGCATTTAAATGTAATTCAGTGCCAGCAGTCAAAAGCAAATGCAACTGCTTTCAAAGAGGAGCCATCAATATACACTGTACAACAACAAAGACTTGCATAAAACATGAAATGAAGGCACTGGCTCCCAGATAATTCAGTGTCAGACAGAAAATTAACACACAAGTAACAGTTTTGGGTCCACATCATCCAACGCCCAGCAGCTTTCAAACCAAACAGAGACACATCTCACTCCCTCCCACCCACCACGGTAAGCTGGTGAAACCCCTGCCCCCAAACACTTACCTAAGCCATTGGTATCTAGTTCATAAATATCACTAACAAGATAAAACAAGCTAGTCTGGCACTGACAGCTGCCATTGCTGAAGAAGCCAGCCATTCGGGTGGGAGGAGGGCCAAGGACAGGATACTAGGCAAGAAGCAAAGAAAAAGATAAAGGTGTTGCAGCTTTTCCTCATCTCAAACCCAGAGTTTGGCACATCTCCCATTCAGATTCACACCCCACAAACCCAGGGGCAGGTAAGTGCACTGTGCAGCCTGCGGGGTGTTACACGATGCAGGTTCTCTGCTCACATTCACAGTTTCACATTCAGGAAGAGCTTTGGCCTCAGTGGTACCTGAATTTTTTGTTCTAGAAACTTCTTCCCTGAATCCACCGCCGCTTCCAGCTGCTGGAGCAGGGATCTGATGGTGTCAATCCTGGAGGAGACGCCGTTCTCTGCAGTCTTTTCCGAGTTCTTTGGTTGGATGGTGTGGCTCAGAGTCGGGAGGCCGCTCACCAGCCTCAAAGTCAAGGACCGGATCCGCAACCACAGGGTTTCTTCCTCCAGTGAGAGCTTCCTATGTTCTTCAGAAATGTCCCTACAGAAAGGCACCAAAGGTTGTCAGGGAAATGCTCCAACTTTGTACAGCACCTAAAGCTTTCCTCAGGCACAAAAGCCTATGCAAAGCTCTCCTATAATGGATGAAGACGAAGGAGTGGCCAGAAATTAAGAAAACTATTAATATATAAAAAGGCAGCACTGCTAGAAGTGATGGATAGTGCTTGTTAAGTCTGCAGTCAGCCAGCCCAGGGAACATTAAATTTTGTTGCCCTGGAAGGAATTTCTTTGCCATGTGTGTTGTAAGGAAATAGTGTGACTCTAGAGTTGAGGGTATTTCTACTCACCTGTCTTTTGGATCCCAGCTAAACAAGACTGTCAGGTCCCTGTTGTCACGCAAATCTTTCCATGGAATGTCATCCTCCTCTGGGCTCAGACTCATGGACTTTATACTTTCTTCTAAACTGGTTGATCTGGACACAAGAATAAGCATTAAATCAAATATCTGATCACTGGAAAGAGAAATCACAGCTCACTAACAGACCACGTTCTGTCCACTGTGCAGCTCTGCTGATGGCAGGAGTGTGGCACACATGTGGCACTGACAAGGATGTGAAGGGAAAGCAAATTAAAATCACAGATTAAAATCTTACAGTTAGAAAAGACCTCCAAGATCATCAAGTCCAACCACCAGCTCAGCACCACCACCACGTTCACCACCAAATCACGTCCTCAAAGTGCCACATTTACATGTTTTTTGAACACTTCCAGGGATAGTGACTCCACCACTTCCCCAGGCAGCCTGTTCCAATGCTTGACAACCCTTTCCATGAAGGAATTTTTCCTAGTATATAATCTCAGCCTCCTCAGCACAACCTGAGACCATTAAAGGCAGAGAGGAGCATCAGGAGAGATGTTTCTGCCAGAGCTGCAGGTGCAGCTCCCCAAGGTCTCACTTGGCCTGTGTTCTGCCCATGCACAAACCCCCCAGTTTCCCCCCTGCCAGGTGCTGAACTCACATATTTGCTTCAAGTAAGAGGTCCAACAACATCCGCTCTGTGCGAACTTGGGCGAAGTGAAGGGAAGAGTTCAGCCTGTTCCTGAAGGCAATGAATTCCGGGATCTTCTCAAACGCCCCGTACTTGTAGGCTTGGATGATGTATTCTGAGGTCTGGAAGAGAACACACAGCAGCCCTGTGTTAGTCACTGCCCCAAAATGGGAATAACCACCTTTAACAAGGTCACTGCCATGAAATTGCATTTCTGGGGATTTATGCACCCAGAGATCAGAACCTGACAGATCTTCAATCCCTGGGAGAAGTTTGCACTTCTCCAAGTCATCCCCTTTGCTACTTTAATTTGGGAATGCTCAGATACTCCAGAGGCAGTGGGTTTTAACAACCCAACCAACACTAATGAGATTTAGCAACCAAACCAACACTAAGCATCACGTTCCTGTCACCACAGACAGAAGAGATGATTTTGGAAGGCTTTTTTGCCCTTCCTTTTTTTTTTTTTTTGTTTTCCAAATCATTAAATCCTTGCTTCATTATGAGAAATACTTCCAGGCAAAAGAAAGATATCCCAGATTTTCTGGAACTCACTTGGATGTGCATCACATATTACCACAGCATAGATTTAAAAAAAAAAAAATTACTCACACATTTTTTTATTTGTTTCTCTTTTTTATTAGAGTTTTGAATACAGTATCACACAGTGTGTACATGTTACAATACAAACACCAAAGGAAGCTCTCAAGGTCCATGGGATACTTAGCTTCCCCTCTGATGAAATGCAGCAATAAAGGCAGGCAGTCAATATTTCACAGTCCAGGCAATCTCCAAAAAGGAGATTTATGTGATGAAGGAGCCCCAAACAAGCACAATGTTATAATGAAAATGTCTAAGTGTAGAGACAGAGTGAACTGTTTCTGCTCCCAGCCTTGAGAGGTGACTGTATTTTTCAGCATCAGAATTACTCCACAAATGAGAAATTCTGGCAAATCAAGTATTTTTTTCTGAACAAGATTCTGAACTGCACTGAAAATGAGAAGCACCAAAAAAAGGCCAATTTTATATGGTCCTGACAGACTCAACCTGTCTGGAAGGCTCTGAGAGACCAGAAGGCAGCACTTACAGATCAAAACCACCTTTTCTTTCCCTCCAACATGAAAAACTTTTTTTTTTTTTTTAAATTATTTTCCCCTAAGAAATTTGGTTATTTGCAATGTATGAAAAAAAAGATGCCAAATATTCAACAACATACCCTGTGATAACCAGCCTTGCAGAGGTGCTTGTCAGGCTGCAGGACTGGGCTATGGGTGCTAATTCAACTCATCGGCGTGGATTTTAAATCCCCCCAGGCCACGTTGGTGCTGTTTGCCTGCAGTATCTGCACAAATCAGAGACGGACGGACACAAGAGAGTTAGAGATTACTTGGGGTTCTGCACAGCTGAAGGAGGACTTGAGAAGGATTTTAGTTCTGGCCAAATATAGCAATGCTGCCTCCTCTCTCCTCCCTGTCCTTGGCATCCTCTCCCTGAGAGAAATAACAGCATTGCACAGCATCCTAAATGGCTGTTCTGTGGGACCCACTCAAACAGGATTCACGTCAGGCTGTGAAGTTCAGCAAGAAGGAAAATGGATTTATCCAAAGCAATCAGTATGATTCAGGAGCTCTATTTTTATACCAGACCACTTGGTTTACATCCCACACTTCCTGCACAGCGCTGTACAGGACACAGTCTCTGTGCTGGAAGACACTGCATCTCTCTTAACAGTGACCTAGGGAGGAGCAGGAAGCACTAGAAATTCTGGAAAATGGGAATATTTGAAGGATAGTCCTCCTTTAACACTGCAGTTAGATGTGGTCACAGGGCTTGAAGGGGAAGCTGCTGTCAGGACCCTGAGCATGAAGGGGTAACCCCAGCAGCAAAGAAACTGGTATCAGATCCTGACCTTTTGATACTCAGGACATGTCCTATGGCAAGGAAACCCTTTCTTCACCCCCTCTCTTGCCACAACATCATCCTCAGTGAAAGGGACCCTGAACTGAGCCTTCACCTTCTGCAATTTGCACCTCACGCTTGGTTTAAAGGACACTTCCTACTTGCAAGTACAGCTTTTGAGGCACTACCCAATAAAAGGATCTTAAGGATACAACCACTGGAAGTGTCCAGAACACAGGAGAGATTTGGCTACCTGGGAGCAACAACAGCTCATGGTCCTTTGGTCACCACACTGTCTCCAAGACAAGACATGATGTGAGTGGGTTCCACAGTCGCATCCTCATCTTGTCACATGAAGAATTCTAACATTCTACTGCACCACTTGTGCCCCTCTTGCAATTCCAACATTTTAAGGTGTAGCAGCAAGGTCGAACTGTTCAGGCAACACCTTTTCAGGATTTCTGGAACACGAGTTGAGTAGCATTTTCCTGCCAACAGCACTTGGAACGCTGCCGTCTTCATCCGTGTACAGATGTTGAGCTACTGGAGACAACCAGCTCTTCTCTGCCACAAGAACTTTTATCACTGATGCCAAAGAGAATAACCTGCTTCCCAGGGAACCACACCTGAATTACTTGATTGTTTTCCATGGAAAGATGATTTCTTGATGCTTTCCAACGCAGTGTTCCCAAGCAGACGAGTCACATCCCATAGTTTTTCCGATTCACTTTTCTCACCTGTACCCAGCAGTCGTGTGTTTTATTCACACAGTTGGTTCCACGGATGCTTTTCATTAACATCCACCAAATGACTTTTAAACGAGACTGAAAAGTTACACCTCACCAAAAAAAAAAAAAAAAGCTGCCACTACCAGCAATAGACACACAGGATAAAATCTGGATCCAGAGCTTGACTCCCAGGAATCCAAAGCCTCTTAGCAAGAGGAATCAGTTAAACAACAAGCAAATGAGGGATGCAAAGCAGAGCGAGCTCCCAACCCATCCTACAATCCATGTGCTGCTCTGTGCATCCAGCAAATTCCTGTGCCAGACACAGGTCACAGGAACTCAGCATCTCCCTTCCAGGCACAGGGAATGGCAACGGGAATCCTGTACCTGGGAATCACTTGGGGTGCCAACACAGCATGGGGAATTCTCAGGGATTCCTGTGTGAGCATCTTTACTGTTCAGTTCAGACAACTCCTGTGTTTTTATCTATTGCTGGGAGAGTGGGAAAGCAAGTTGTGTGACTGCAGAGCCATTTGCCACTGAAATGCACCTTTGTTTCTTAGGAATAAAAACCAGTTTCTTCACCTACCTCTCAACAGTGACCAAACTGTTCAATATAAACACACAGGATATATTCCCATTCCTTGGAATATAAAGGGGTGGTCCCTTTACAACGATGTGCAGCCCCCACGACCCCTGTGTGCCCAGCACAGCCATCACTGATTCAGTGATTGTAACATTAAGGATTCATAATGTGCCATCCCATCCCGAGCCACCACCCCTGGCTGCTCCACGACTTTCCAAAATGCCAGTTTTATGACACCAGGGTTTTTTTGCCACACGACATCTCACTTCAATTACTGCATAAGATCACAAACCATTGATTTAAAAGCATCATATCTGGGTTTTTTAAAGAGCATTAAAACCGGCTTTAATAAAAAGAAAGCTAAAGCAAAACCTCATGTAACAGTAAGTTGCAAATTCCTGCAGTAAGACACACAGGTCGAGGCAACCTTTACTACAAAGTTGCACGTACTATTCCTCCTTGTTATCATGTTATTAACCTGCATTTCCATAAGCCCTTACACAGGGCACAGGCTTCTCTAAGTTTCCTTGACATATTGCCCTGTTACAAAGTCACAGAGGTTTCTTTCAACTTACATCTTTCTGGTTGGAGTGGAAAAACCTGAGTGCAAAATTGCAGGATTGGGATGCAGCAGCATAATGGCCCAGGGACTCGGCGTAGCGTGTCAGGAGATACCTGCAGCAAACACAGCAATGTCAGCCCCAGCCCTGGAACCCCAACCCCAAACAGCTGCAGCACAGCCCAGTTTTCAGGGGAAATGTGGAGATTTAACAGTATTCACATTAACAACTTTCATATTCAAGTTTAGGTTTGAAAAGCAGAGGAAGGAATTCTTAATTTTTTTAAAATAGTATGTGAGGAGTTGGAGTTCCTCCATCCGCCTCAAATGTGGCAAGAGCTTTACTCAGTCAGATGCCCCCAAACATACTCAATTAGATGGCCCCAAAAACACCAACCAAGGCCATTTGGTGTGTTTGCTTTAACTAGTGTTCCCAAGCTTTCCTGAGCAACACCACGAGCTGGAAAACCAAGCTATGACTAGCATCAAGATAGATGTTTCACAAATTTCCTCCAGATTAGTTAATACTTAGTTAATTCTCTGTAAATCCAGCACAGGAAAGATACTCCACAAACAGAGGACTGGATGTGTCTCAAAATCCCCAAAACACTTTTACACAGTGTATGAAAAGCTGACAATCTGCTCTGTTTTGGGTGGCAGAGCAAAGTGCAGGTCTCAGAAGGGGTTCTGAGGGTCAGCAGCAGCAGGGATTATTCTCAGTATGTACCACCCACCCGATGGTGTCGTGCTGGATGTGCTTGGCATCGAGGCTGGAGTAGAGCTCAGCCACGGGTTCGAACGCCCCGAGCCGGCAGTAGATCCGGATGAGCAGCAACTTAAACTGAGCATTGGAAGGACTGTGAGCCAACCCCTCCTCCAGCAGAGTCAGGCACTGCCACACAGCTGCCTCTTCACCTGCAGACACACAGAACACAGGTGTGAGCAGAGAGAGGCACCCAACAGCCCTCAGCACAATTCCCTCTGGGACTGGAGCTTCCTGGTGTTACACACCTCCCCCGAACGGTGCCCAGGGATTTACAAGTGCAGATGGCACAATGTAACACCTGCTCCAGCACTACTGCTGCTCCCTGAGGGAATGGGGGAGGAGTAATTCCTCACAGGGAATACCCAGCTCACATCTGCACAGAGCACAGCCCTCACAGTGAGCCCACTGCAGGAAAAGTGGCCCTCCCTGATGGATCCTGCACTGACTGGGAATTCTAGTTTACACATACAGAGCAATCCCAAGCATTATGCAAAAGAGCCAGGAATTCAAGAGCCCATGTCCACCAGTGACCTGCCAGGAGCCTGACCATGGCTTTACTCAGGTTAAAGACTAAATCTTCCTCAGGAAAGACAAAGGCATTACTGACAACTACATGGAATATAAACAGTGCCCATGGACATCCACCACTGGACACTGTGGGACTAAGAGACACAAAGAAGAGGTGTGGAGTACAGCAATACTCAAGACATGGAGCAGGTCCCAGCAGGTCTAGAAACCAGGGATCCAAAAGACAAAGTATGTCAGGAAGGGGAAGGAATGCTCCCGAAACACTTCTCATATCAGAAAGGAGTTGTCAGCAGAGCTCATGCAAAGGGAGAGAAACAAGGAATTAATCAGAAAAATTAAATCCCTTTAGAGGTCAGGGAGATTCAGGTCAAACACCAGCTGAACAGAGACTCCTCAAATACACCATATTGCCAAAAAACAACCCCAGAAAGCTACAGGTCATGCCAGGTACTCACTGCCCACAGGGACCCAGTCCCCCCACCCAACCATCCAGGGTGGTGATAAGTAGGGCACAATTTTGGGAACATACCTTCCAGCCACAGATCAAGCAGCAGGTGAACTGCAAGCAGGCAGTAGTAATCTGAAAACTGCAATTCAGTTTTCAAACAAGATTTCCCTAAAAAGAAAAAAGAAAGTTACTAACAGTGCTGTCAGCTGATCTCACAGGCAGCGTTGTCAAGTGACACATCCATATATGTGGATTATAACCACAGTTTAATTTATAAAATCAGAATCAAAAGTGTCTTAAAAACTCAAGCAACTTTATACACGCTGCATTTGTTTATCACTGAGTAGATTTTGGGGCACTTCATACATTAAATCTGCTGGAAGAAGAAAGGACTCTCCCACAACTGTAAGGTTAACAAATTAATACTCCTGGCCCAGGTATTTGTTCTGTGCACACAAGTGATAAAGCACGGCTTTTACAAAGTAAAAACTACCCTGGAAAGTCTTCTTTATCTTTAAAATACATTAAAAAAAAACACTAAAGGAAATTCAGGTATAGCCGAGGCTATAATGACAAGGAGGAAGCCAAGTGTTCTCAGCACTGAGCTGCAGGATCAGGTTACAGATTTTCCTCACCGAACTCCAACCCGTGGCGGTATCTGAACATCAGCTCCCGCACCACCGTCAGCTTCTCCTTCTTGTCCATGGCGTGGTAGATGCCCAGAAGCCTGGAGAGCTGCACCACACACAGGTGCTGCTGCAGGGCCTTGATGTCCCCTGGAAGGGCCACCTCGTTCTCGGCCGCTGCTGACAGGGGGATCACCTCCAGCAGCTGCTGGATGAACTGGGAGAGAAACACTGGGGTTCAATCCTGAGGGCAAAGCATCATTTCCCCCCTCAAACCAAACCAAAAGAGCAAGGTGGAAACACTGAATCAGTCACATCAGTGATGCTCTGAACAGCAAACTAATCACACTCCTCAGCCACAGAAATGGGGCCCTGGCCCCCAAGCACTACAAACAGCAGGCAGAGGGCAAAAGTGCTTAAAAATCCCAAACTAACCTCAAAATGGAGTTAAACAGCAACATCTGAACTATTCAGGAGAATTTTAAGTCTTTCTTAAGAAAGTTTATGTAATTTGGAGCATTAAACTGAATGAAGATTTCTACTGCTCCACACGAATGATGTATCAATATCAACCTTGACGTCACATTGAATCAGTGGTTAAAGATACTTAACTTTGTTATTTTTTAATTCTTGAGCACACAGCTCTAGTTGCGCTCAATAGCTTTTATTAAGTTTCATCAAACAGATGGAAGAAAAAAAGAAAATCAGGGGCAGGTTTCCAATGCATTGACACACCAGGGAGTTCAAGCACCTGTTAACACTCTCGGTAATAACAGATGCAATTAAAATAATTAGTTGCTGAAAGGCTTCACAGCACACTTCCAGGCAAGCGTGGTTTTGCACGAGCTGTTACATTTTCCCTCAGCTCTGAAGTAATCTGAGGTCATCAGCTTTGATTAATGACTTCTTGCTTGAATTAAGTTGTCAGAAAAGCAGCCTCTCATTGTTTGCTGTTTTAATGGGAGACAGAGGAGTACTCCCAACACACAGCCAAGGGCTGGACACCAGTTTCTTATTGTGAACACTGTTGGATTTTAGGGCAAATTTAAAACTGAGTTAAAGCCAAAGAATTCGGCTTTACTGCACTTGGTATTGACACATAGGAATTGCATCAAATGCAAGCCTGAGGCCAAAAGCTTCACAGCCAGAGAGGAGCAACACCAGGCACCACACACACCAATTCCCGTTTTCCCACAGAACAGGCTGGAGATTGTTGACAGATCTTTGCAGTTTGAGGGTTTGCCAAGCTGAGCAAGGTCAACCACATCACTTGGCTCTATACTCCAATTTACACCTTTTGAAGTCAAGACTGATGTCATGACCATTATTTCTGGAATATCTCACATGTCAGTGGCCCAGCAAGGTCTCCACCTTCCCAGCTACTGAACTGTAACTGTAATTTCAAAACTCATCAGCACTTCAGCACCACAAAACCTCCTCAACTACTCGTGCCCTTGACCGAGTTAAACTGCTGCAGACGCTGCTTTAGAGACAGTCAGAGAACAGCCAAACACTGGCAAAACCTTCCAATCCATCAGTTTGACACAATATTTATTCCAGAATTTATTCAGTAAATCAGCAGCAGTTTTAAGGCCAGACAAAGTTATAGAGAACTTATTCAAAGTCATGGTTTTACAAGCACTGGGACAAAACTGTCACCTAAACTATTATTGAATATCATTCTTTCCACTCCTCGTTTAGAGTTTGTTTCCTGGAAAGTTAGGATTAAACCTGATTAGTACTTCAGGGTTACCTGACAACAGTATCACCATTTCCAGAACCAGGAGTTAAATATCCTTCTGACCAAATCTCTTGCCAGTGGGGTAAAACCCACACCTTTAAACATAAAACATCAGCAGCCATCCACCCATGCCAGGGTCACCTCTCATCAGTGGGAAGAGCTGTATTAGCCCTCAAAAACATTGTAATAAACTAAAGAACCACGTTATCTACACTTTGTTTACCAACATTTTCTCCCAGCCTGTGGCTGATCCCGGATTCCCTGCCCTCCCCAGTGCTGATCCCTGCACACAATGGCCCAGACAAACACTGGGGTGAGTGACAGGATTCCCAGCTGCTGAAGTCATTCAGGGCTGCTCATGACTCTGCACAAACGGGCTTTTCAGTCCCAGAGAGCTGTTTCAGAGAGAGATTCTGGAAAAAACTGCCATAGGTCTCTCCATCACCCCTCAAGCAGCATCAATGTGTCCATTCTTTGGCACTGCCAGAGCCAAGCAAAGCATCTCTGGGACACCCCCCCTGCATGGGATGAGGGAGCAGCTTTTTCCCACTAAACAGAGAAGTTTGAGCTCAAAGCCTGACACCTGACACCTTGAAATGGTAATAAAAATGCCAAAGGAATACAAGATCTGAGACTCTGCAGGATCAAACTCAGCTTTAAACCTCCAGTAAAAATCCTCTGAATGAAACTGCTCAGTGTTCAGATGTTCACAGTATTTTCTACAGCACAAAGAGTTCTCTGAATTTCAAACAGAAAAGAAAAATTTGATGTTGCCAGTCTTTCCATATAATCCACAGGTATTTTAAGATAAAGGCACCAGAGTGCAAACATCCACTGCAGTTCCTGCCACACTTTATCTTTCCTTACCTTTGAGTATTGGCTGGGTGAGAGGAGATCCACAAACACTTTGAGATCAGTAAAACAGCAGGGTTTGTCCCCAAATTTTTTGAAGTATTGGAACATTAGCTCTTCTGGATCACCTAGAGAAAAGCCCAGTCCATCTTTTTAACACACTTCAGTACGAGTTGAATTTGTAAAATCACTCTGAGAAATCTGTTCATGCATTTTTTTCCCCCCTTCAAGATTACAGAGTGATTTAGAAAACAGAGCTGCAGATTTTAACAGAGGCTCAATGTCTCTGGTAACCAAGGACACAAAAAACCACCCCAAGAGCTTCATTCAAGCTCCTCTGGCAGATAAGTGCTCAGCAATACAGGAATGCACACCCAGCCTCTGCTTATCTAACCACGACTTATTTTTGGATGGAAACACAAAAAGAACTAGTAAGGAGCACAGATGTTGCTCTAATCATGTTCTCTTTCACTGATTGCCTAAATGCCACTTTTGAATGCGAGTTTTTAAAAACCAAACCCAAAAAACTTAAATGAACTCCCCCCATCTCCAAACACTGCAGCGTTAACAGCTGGACTTTCCAAAGAGCAGAGCAGCAGGAACACAGTGTCAGTGACTGCTCCTAAATCCCAGAGGTCCTGAAAACTTCCCTTCTGGCTTTTCCAAGCCTGAACTAGTCTGAACTACCTGCCTTTCTTCAGGGCTCATCCTTTAATGCTTTCAAAATTCTTTACACAGAGAACAGCAGGTATGTTTTTGTCACAGACATCGTGTTTAACTCAGTGTTCCAAGTTTTTTTCTCTCTCCAAAAGCTGGATTCCTCCCCCAGCCATGGCTCTTACCTAGTTTATATTCATCATTGCAGCCTCTGTGTCTCAGACGCCTGATCAGCTCCAGTTTGGCTAAATATGGTCCCCGGAGCGGCCGAGAGCTCTTGGACTCCTCCGTGATCCTCTCCTCTATAAACTCCACAGCTTGTTCCACAGAACAGTGCACCTCTCCTTCCAGAGAGCTGGGAATTAGAGACAAAAGCTTCTTGGATTTTTCCCAGCGTGAGGGCAGGGATAACACACACTCAGCACTCCCAGGATACTCTTAAGGAAATCTAAAATCCACTAAATCCATCACCACGGAAAATATTAACTGGAAGAGTTCTACAGTGCACAAACAGCTGTTTCCAATAATTGCCAGACTCCAGATAAAAGCAAGGAGAACACATGAAACAAAGCAGGGAAAACACACCATTTGGGGTGTGATGTCAAGGAGTCACCCAAATATCGAATATATGGACACAAACAATTCGCTGTAGCACAAAGGGCAAACAAAACCACAGCAAAACTGGCAACTTACTGCTCTTCTTCTGCTGGAGGTGTCCAGGACTCATCAATGAGTTGAAACACTGAATCAAAGTAAGTTATATAAAACTGCCAATCATCTGAGCTGAAACAAAAATCAGGCACAGGACAAAATTTAGGGAATTGCCAAAACAGTAACTCACAGCTAGAACTGCATTCCTTGTCAAAGATAAACTTAAAGAATGGCACATCATCATATTACAGGAAAAACCCAACTGCAATAATAAAATCATTTCCCCTCCAAAAGGTCTCACATCTTAAGAACTCCATCATCCTGAATTTCTTGAAATGTATTACATGAAACCATTTCAATACCAAATTGAAGCAAGCTATAAACTTTCCTCCTCACATTTACATTCCACAGCTCAGCAACATCCCCACAAAATGCAAAGGCAGAAGTTTCTCTTCTGTATTTAACTTAGATATAAGATGAGGGCAGAGCTAAACTCAAAAAGCAAACAACACATCTCTCCTGACAGTTCTGAGACAGATCTGATCAGACTGGAATGTTCTGTCTCCTGGTGCATCTGTTCCAAGCACCACATGCATTTCCCACTGTGAAGTCTGGCCAAGTGAGAGAAATAAAGTTATAGAAAATGAAATTTAAATGCAGTTCTCCTCCTCTCTGTCAGAGCTGGACAATCAGCACAGCCTTTGGAAATAAGGAGGTAACAACACTATTTTGCTTTAATGTATTGCTAAATCCTGCTTGAAAAAGCAGCACCTACAGCCCCGTGCCCTTCCCCACATCCCTTCACCAGTCCACCCTGCCACCCTTCTCTTCAGACTTTGGAGCATAGAGCTTTGAGATCCTGATATTCTTCTCTTTTAACCCCAGAAAGCCACTGAACAAGGCAATCCACAACCAAGCAGGGATTTTTCATCCACGTTTTGGCAGGACTGCAGCACCACCCCCTCACTTTTTGAGCAGCAGCCGCCTGGACAGCGCGTTGCACTCGGGCCACCGCCGCAGCTTCTTGTACATGGCCATGCACTTGTTCTCCCGGCTCTGGAGCTCACTGGTCAGCTTCTCTGCACCACAAACACAAGGGAACCTCATGTCAGCATTGCTTTCCTCCTCTGCCTGCTGCAGAAAGCTTCTTATTATAGCCCAGCATGCAAAACAGTGTTAAGAGAACAGGAGAGAGGACAGAGAGATTTCCTATGGAAACCGTCATATCCCAACTCCTTAAAACTCCATGTCAATCCTCAGAAAGGGTACTAGAAACTTGATTTTTTCTTTTAAATGGCAGCTACAACAAATAAGCATAATATCAATCTACTACTGCAAAATCCACCACTGAATAACATTTAAATTCCATAAACAAGTGGGTAAAACCAAGTGGCACAAAAACCTCCAGGGTTTGCACCAGGGTTTGAAATTGGTGCTAAGTCAGGCTTCCTAAAATATTACTATTTTTTTCTGGAAGCAGTGGGCAAGTCTGAAGCAAAGGAGAACTCTGTGTCCTCCACACAACTCTGATTTATTAACAGAATAAATTACCTCCCAGCTTTCCTCTCACAACGTCTAAGGCTTCCTTGTACTTCTCCAAACGTTCCAGAATCATGTAGTACAGCTCAACCTTAAAAGAAAGATGAGACTGCAGTGAAATTTGCTGGGAAAACCATACACAGGTGTGCCAAAAAATAAAATAGGAGACACCAGGCCTGCACAGTTATCTTTAGTATCCCAAAGGGTGGAGCACTCCGAAATATAGGTCTTTTTTCCATTCTTAGTCCTCAGGTTTTTCTTGGGGCCTCACAGGGAGCAAAGCACTTCATCAGTCAAATGAAATGCCAAAAATCTGCCTTGGCCACACAATTCCAAATCCCTCTTAACCCCCTGCTCCTGGTTTTCCTTCTGTTCCACTCCATCTACATTTACTTCCAAAACATTACTGACTATTATCTTGGAAAACTGTTAAAATAATCAACTTCCCAGTGCACTGCTTGTCTCAACAAAGCTCAAATCAAGTCGAAAGTATCCCCAAGCCTTACTTCAGCCTCAGCTTCAATCTTATCCTCCTTCACCATTTTTTCCACCATTCTCTCAGCCAGTGGCAAAAACATGGTCTTGGAGAGGTTTTCATCCTGTGCTGAGATGGACTGAGGGAGAGAAGGATTATTGGAACAGCTCAGCAACTTTTTGTCTTGTCCCACCCACTGCTTTTTTCACTTTGGAAGAAGAAAAAAAAACACCCAGGTGCTTCAACCCCCCCCAACCACCCATCCAGAGCTGCCTCCTGTGACCTGCAGAGTGCAACTGCTCCAGGAAAAGGAGCAGTAAAATTAGTGATCCACAGAAAAGCTCATTTTTCATTATATTGACCAGAGATTTGCACATTTGAGCACACAACACTCATGGTAAAAACCATGGAGCCAGAACATATTTGTGTGTTCCAGAGCACAGTATTTTAGAGAATGTGATTAATGCCCCTCATGCTTATTTTTTGTTTGATTTTGTGTCTGATTAGTGCCCATATCTCTGTCTCAACTAAGAGCAGCACAGCTGATCTGTGTCTATTCCTGCAGACTCTGCCAAGTCCAGAGCTCTCATTTTTTCCCCTCCAAGAGCCTTTATAATTTCATTAGAGAGGAACAGTTCTGACTGAGAAACTGCAGATATTTGAGGATTTATTCATTATCTCCCTACTAAAATGACAGTAAGATGTTAGTCCAGCTCAGAGAATAATTCAGTTGTATAAACATGGTAAGGCAACAGTTAAATTGCGTTATAAAAACACTTCAGCATTCATTTTGGACCACAACAAAAGTGCTACTTAAGGAGGGCTCAACCCTTCTCCCAGCATCACCCAGGAGCAGGTCAAACACCACCTTACTTAAAATAATCTCTCATGTTTTCACTCAGAACATTTCTGTATCAGACAAACTCAACACTGTACACACCTGCATGATCAGGCTCATCACAGACCAGAAATAATACGGATTTTTGGGTACAATCTTATAAAGTGCCATTCCAGCCTGAAAAATAGAAGCCAGAAGTTTCATCATTCCTGAAATATATTTCTTTCCAAGCTCTCATGACAGACAGCAATGATGGCAGTGACAACACAAAATTAGCAATTAGTGCTCTTTAGTTTTTCTCCACTGAATTCCACCAATACAAGCCTAAGTGTATGTTGGATGCCACACTAAGAGCATGGGTGAGATTACTCTTCCCAAATAACAGAGAACTAAGGAGGAAATCAAGTGTGAAAACACGGATCAGAAGATCTTGCTCTATATTTTCATCTATTCCAGAATTCCTTGTAACACACTGCCAGCACAGACCAATTCAAGGCACAGCTTTAAGGAAAGAAAGCTTTTCCCTTTAGACAACCCAACCCCTAAAAAATGGGGTTTTAAGCCTTTCTGTAAAAACCAACACAGAGTTTAACTTCTGCACTAACCAAGCTCAGCTTTTGGAAGATTCCTTGTAAGGTGACAAGGCACTGACAGTAAGAAATACAGAAAAATACACCTTAAAACAGCCAAACACCAGTTGTTGCTCGTACCTGTTGCATCTTCTTGTACTCCCCAACCCTGGCATAGGCCATGAAGAGGTGAGAGTGATACTCTTCACTGTTGGGAACCTTCTTTACAGCTGCCTCGTACAGTTTAGTCACCAGTTCAGCTAAATCAAAACCAGATGCTTGAGTTAAGACAAATTTGGGAATATTTTAAAGCACAGCTGCCTAAAGAGCATCAGTGATGCTCTGAAATCACCCTAATTACACCCAGCAGCCACAGAAATGGTGTCCTGGCCCCCAGGCACTACAAACAGCAGGCAAAGGAGAAAAGTGCTTAAAAAACCCCAAACCAACCTCAAAATAGAGTCAAATCGAAATGGAGTTAAACAGCAACAACTGAACTGGTCAGTTCAGAATTTTAAGCCTTTTTTTTAAGAAAGTTTATCTAATTTGGAGCATTAAACTTAATGAAGATTTCTACTGCTCCATGTGAATTATGTATCAAACCCAACATTTTCAGAGCCTGATATTAAACTAATTATTCTTATCACAGTTTGACTTACATTAATTATATCCTGTATTCAAAACAATTATTCCACACTATACTTTTTGATAATAGGTCTATCATGACAAAATACTTCTGATATTATAACATGCAAAACTTTCTTACATTTTCATCCTTCCAGATTTTTTTCCTTACACATAAAACTGTATCTAAGTGTAGCATTAGAAAACTAAAAGTAATTTTTCTTTCATAGTTTCTTTCATAGTTTAGAAATACTTGACACACAGATATAAAACATCTAATTCCAATTTCCTTGCAGGACCAAAAGTGCCTCACACCCACAAGTTCCTGAGTTATAAATCTAAAAGTTATAAAGCTCAGCTTAAAACCTTGTGGAAGTTGTGTGGCATCACAGAAAGGCTCTTGACATTCACAGAGGTTTCTGCTGAAGTCACAAATACACACAGAAATTCGGTGTTATTTAAGAAATGATGCTTTAACTCCACAAACAAACTGGGAGAGCATCAGCAATTGCAGACTGGCACCAAACAGCCATTTCTGCAGCAGCTGTTTCACCCCATGGTCATTTCTCCAGCAATTCAACAATAAATACTGGTACCAACATCACCCCACAAGGAGCTGCCAGGGACAACAAGTGTTCAGAGCTGCACATAAGCAGGATATAAGGTCTGGCTTCTTTCAGAAAAGCACATGAAGCTTTACTCCATCACTCCAACAGTCATGATTTAGTACTTTTAAAACAGAGAATCACTATGAGGAACCAGATTGAAAAGCTGCTGTGGTCAAACTGGGAGGGCAGGATTTCCCTCCCATTTCTCACCCAGTTTCCTGAGCCTGAACCCCTAGACTACATCACAGCACCAAACACACTCCAAACCACAAGCCACTGACTTGCAATCTCTGCCACATCTACTGACAACAAATTCCAATAGTTTCATTAACAAAAAGTGAACTCACAGGCTGCTGGATGATTATCAACCTGCTTCATTTAGGAACTGTTACACAATCATGTTAATGAGAAACCTGAACAAGGTTTTTTTAGCTTTATGGAGATCACTGGAGCCTTACAGGCATCATTTAAATTCTCTGAGCCCCTTGCAGCCTCTCATATACACAAGTTCTGGATTTTGCACATTTCCCACCACAGTGGGTCCCACAAACTTCTGGAAGAACGTAGATAATTGAGATTTTTAAGGTAGGCAAAGGAACAAACTCACGTCGGTGCATTTCCCGGTACAGGATGGTTAGTGCCTGCAAGGAATTATCATCTGTGGGTTCAAGTGCTGCTACTTCTTGTGCCAGAGCATAGGCTTCATCCTGCTTGCCAGTCCTCTGCAAGCCAATGGCCTTCAGAACCTGTGGACACAACACAGGCAGCTCTCAGGATTTGCAATTACCAGTGGAAATCCTCTCGTTCCTCGTCAGGTTTTGCCCAACCACCTTGTTTCCCCTACAGAACTTCAGCTTTTATTAAGCTTCTAACCCATGTGGCTGTAAAGAAAAACTCCCAAATCCAGGCTGCATCAAAGAGGGGGATTTGATTTCCTACCAAATATCCAGGTTGCTCTAGCATCACCTGCCACTGGGTTTTCTCTCCCTGCAGGCTGAACACTGGCCAGTCCTGCCCATTTTCATTTGTTTCTTTTCAATAACTGGCCAGAGAGAAGTGACATAAATGAGATTCAGGTCAATGACACTCTCTGCAGCTTGGGAAGCTTTCAGAATGTAGAAGTGATGTGACCTGTAGAGGGAAACCCCCAGGGAAATGAGGAAAGTAGAAAGAGAGTCACATGTTCGGAAAAGTGAAGGACAGAACTGCCTTTCCTTCACTGGGGCACTGCAAGGAGGGAGAGGACAGGAAGCAGAAGAGCAAATGCCTCCAAAATTATGGAATCACAAAATCCCAGAATGGTTTGGGTTGGAGGGACCTTAAAGCTCATCCAGTTCCACCCCTGCCGTGGGCAGGGACACCTTCCACTAGCCCAAGTTGCTCCAAGCCCTGTCCAACCTGGCCTTGGACACTCCCAGGGATGGGGCAGCCACAGCTTCTCTGGGCAACCCATTCAGTTGCTTTGTTTCACTAAGACTCCACACCCCAGGAGATGTGTTGGTGCAAGCTCCTACAGAGAAGTGTCCCAACCTGAGGTCTCAAAGAGGCATTTCTGAGGCCCAGCCCAGGTGCCAAGGTCTGGGTGGTGCTGACAGTCAGACAATGAGCTCGGGTGTAACCAGTGCTCTGCTCACTACCCACAGGATTTGTGTGAGTGTTCAGGCAAACAAGACACGAGGATCAGGACAGAGATATTCCAGAGGGTTCAGAAGACACTGATCTCTGGAAGATCACAGTGAAACATCTCAGACAGGTGCCCCCAAGCCACACTTACCTTGGCACAGTGAAGGTCCTTGTGCTTTTTGAGCAGTTTATCCGCTTGCTGGATTGCCATTTTATTATTGCCATTATCCAGATAATCTGCACAGGAACAACACAGCCAGTGTTACACACAGCACAAGGCCACTCTGCAAAGCCATCTCCAGTTTTACCCTCTGCTCTTACACCAGGAGCACAAACCACCTTTTCCTTGTACAATTACTCCTAAACCAAACGTTCAGGAAACGTGTCACTTCGTGGGTGAAAGATTCATCTCACTGTGCTGGTTTTAGTCATCCAAACAAACAAGCTTTTGTAATTACTCCACATGGATCATGACAGCAACAAAAGAGACACATAATAGAGAGGATTCTGCAGCAACAGCTCTTTGCTGGCAATGCAGCTCCAGTGCTTCAGCAGGAAAAGGAGAAATTAATTGGGTGTGCCTTTGGGAGACTTTCAGTGACTTTACCAGGCAGGAGGTTACAAACTTAACACTCACACTCTATAAGTGTTCAGTGAGAACTCCTTGTCCACACCATCCATCCCCCAGGCAGAGCAAACCTGTCCCCCCACAGAGCACCACTGTGCTTCCACCAGACTGCTTTTGAAGACACAAGTGTGAAGCATCAATATTTCCTTGGGGACATCCCACTATCCAGTGAAACTTCAGCTGCAGAAAACCCACCTCGAGACCATTTTCTCCTTTTTAGCTCGGAATTATAATTTTCAGATTGATCATCATGTTATTAGATAATTACAAGCAAGGAGTTTTAGATCAGGACATGACCCCTGTGTGCTTCCCGTCCCTCAAAAATTCCTATTTCCAACCCAAAACTCAGCTTAGCTGCCCCTTCATGTGCCAAGGGAAGGGTCTGCTCACCCTGCTGTGGCCAAACTATCAGCAGAGCTCATTCCAGTTAACTGGAATTACATTACACACCTCTTTCTCCTCAAGACTGTCATTCCCATTATGAGACAGAACTCTTTCACTGAGTAAAAAGGTGACCTTTGGTGATTCCTGGGCACATGGTACAAACTGTGCATCTCTGCTAATGAGATTTATATTCAGCAGCTCCCACATTATTTCCATGGCCAATGTGTGCTGCAGATTTAAAGCAGAGCTAATTGGGCTCCTGAGACCATCCAGAGCAACCCTCAAACAAGGCAGCACCTCCACACTCCCCAAAACTAAACACTGCTGCACAAAATCCAGGCTGAAGCCACGATACTTTGTCTTCACATGGGTGTTTTAACTCGGGAGAACCCGTGTATCACCTTTAACACTAAACTTAAGGAGGGATTTCTCGGTGAAGAGGCTTCAAAAGTGTGCAACAGAACATCAGAAACTCTGATTTAAGGATCTGTGACACACAGTTTACTGACACACAAATTACCCACCACTGTCTGACGTTGTTGAACATCTCAGCTTTGGGTCTCTCAAAGTAAACCAAATAACCCACAGACCTCCCTAAACTGCAGCATGAGGAGACTGTGTTTTGCTAATAAGTCAGTTTGTTGGAAGTCAGAGTAGGTGGCACATTCCAAAGGAACTAAAGGAAAATAAACTCCAGCCTACATCAGTCACAGATCTGTAGGTGGGGATGTTCAGAAGCTGGAAATGCAACACCTGAACTTTCAGGTGAAGGCAGAATGAGCCCAGATGAAAGATAAGCAGAACTGTCGAGGAACTCTGGGGAACCACAGCACAAACATGAAAACACTGGTTTAAATCAAGAGCCAGACCTCGGCCCTGCCGCTGCACATCCCCAGCTGATGATCTGGGGAAGTTGTGTATTTAGATCTTTAAGGACACACACTTTATTCTGGGTTCTGCAGCACCACAGCCTGAATTCAAACCTCACACTGCAGATAATCCTTTCCAGAACGAGCAGAAAAAGATTCTAAAGCTCTCTCCCTAAAAGCTCCACTCTCTGAAACGAACACAACGAGACATTCAACATCATCTGCTTCAACACCGGCTGAATTCACCCAGATTTTTCTATTAAGACCACTTCTCACCCGGGTCATACCACAGATAACTGCACACCAATAAAACCGGCAATCACAGCACGGACAGCAAACTAAGGAAAACACTTAAAAAGCGTTACATAAAGGCAAACCGCAACGAACTCGAACACTTTTAACCGAACAAAACCATCTCCCCTCCCTCTCCCTGGAGCCCACCGGGGGACGCAGAGCCCGGACCGCACCATCCCAAACCACAACCCCAAAGCGCGTCCAGCCCCGGACCGCGGCGTTGCGAGAGCCGACAAAACAGTCGGGAACGTTTCCCAAAACCTCCATCATTATTTTTTTTTTTCAGGGAAGAAACGCTACCGTAGCCCGCGGAAGCGCTTATCCTCCCCCGTTTCTCCCCACATTTGCATAGAGACAACGCTGCCTCCAAACCTCCTTAAGCAACGCCAACTGCGCGAAACACCCGGCGACCACAAGCCTGACTCCTTCCAACTCACCCCCGCTTGTGAAGGGGGGAACCCGCGGGGAGACCCCCCCCCACCGAGGGGCCGCAACCCC